CGGACTTATGTCACTCTAGTGTCGTTCTGTCCCCGCCCCATTACAGTCCTAGGATTCTTCAAGGGGCCCAGGCCCAAGGCTCTTTATCAACCTGAACCTGCTCTCCTGGGAATTCCACAAGGCCCCCCACAGGCCTGTTGTTTGTTCTACTAGGCTCCCTCAGAGTCAGGCTGAGCAAACGCCAACATTTTCGATTCAAGCAATACTATGCTTTGTGTTGTTTGCAGAGTCTATTTGCATTCCAGCCTCCTAGGGACCGATGGGTGGTAGCTGTGTCAGGTGAAAAGAGGTGCAGGACCATATTTATGAAGTGAGATTTCCAGCCCCCAGTTACTAGGGGGTCCCTCTAAATTTAGACCCGGCTCCGTGAGAATGGAAAGGGGCTGTTACTATGCTGGATCTATATGTGGTGTTTTCAAAGCATGTTTTAGGACTTAATTTACAAAAGTCCCTAAATCCTAAAGTCCACCACTTAATTTTGTAATCATGGACAAATTTATTCACCTTCTGTTTTTCCACTTTAAAAAGAAACAAACAAAAACTATGTAAAGTAGAAATAAGGATAATATCTACTTCATAGGGATTTGTGGATTACATGTAAAGGAGTCTAAACTGCAGTGATTACTAAGCTTTAATTACTGTTTTTAGCACAAAGTGTAGTTAGTGCTAACAATGGCCCTTTGAAGATCATTCCTTTCCTTAAACATGTAAGACATTTTTGGCGGGCTGCTGGCAATGTAGGCGTCCCCATCTCTACCCTCTATGGTTGTCTCTCCAGTAACAGGGGGAAAAATTATTTGAGAGAGGAAAAGGGATATTTTGATCTAGTGGGGCAGAAAAGGAGTGGATTAGAAAGTAGCTGGGCATGTGATTCATGCTTTTTATCCCAGCACTTGGGAGGCAGAGACCAGCGGAATATGAGTTTGCAGCTAGCATTGAAGCTAGCACCATCTACATAAGAGTTCCAGGACAGCCAGGGTTACATAGATCCTATCTTTGAAAGGAGTGGGGGCAGGGAGGAAAAGAGAAGGAGATGATGGTCTCTGTTTTCTATAGATAAGAGAACTAGGATTTCCAGATCTCCACAAAAACATCAAGGGATGTGGGTTAATAAACATTTTAAATGTTTGATGTCCCTTACGATAATGTGTTTAGTCTCTGTGCAGCTGTTATTAAATAAGTATTTTCATAAAGTTTTGAGATTTTGTTTTTGTTTGCTTGTTTGTTTTAAACCTCAGAACAATTCTGTAGAATGTTGGAAAAATAGATTTGTTCCAATTAAATTCTGTGCACATTTCTGGTTTCCTTCAATTCATTTCTCTGGAAATTACTTCTATGTCTTCATTCAAAACAAAGATTGATACACCATTCTGGAAAAAGAAATTGGCCAATGCCAACTCAAGCCTTAACATTAATAGATGTAATTAGTGTTTGTTGCTTATTTCCACTTCCTTCCCCTGGCTGAAAATAAAACTATTTAGGCTTTAGGAACACAATGGCATTGTGTTTACAGAATCTTTGAAATGAAAATACATTTTAAAACGTATTTTTGACTGTACATGGTGGCATATACTTTTGGTTCCAGCTACCTGGAAGACTGAGTCTGGAGAATTGCATATTTGAGGCCTACCTGGACAATATAATAAGACACTGTCTCAAAACAAAATTAGGAAAAATTGTAGAGAGTGTAGCTCAGTGGTAGAATACTTATCTAGCATGCAAGAGGCCCTGGGTTCAACACCTAGTACAACAGCTCCCACCCCCCCAAAAAAAATTTTATGGGTCCCAGAGTCTTTGGCAAGAGGAATTAGCAAAATGCTGTTATCATTATTACTCTTGATTCTTCTTAACTTCAACCTAACGAAACACAATGTGTTACTTGACAATCCTTTGAACCTTCTGTGGAGAGAGTCTTAGAGGCAGATGTAAATGAAGCATTAAAAGGGGCTTTGTAAAGTTCTGGTGACCTGCTTAATGGGTTCAGTCAGATGAGCTTCTCCTCTCCTCTCTGGTGAGAGTAGAACCATCCAATTCTCTAAGTATAGTAGTCTTTGGGAACATCTAGAGATAGCCTTGTTATACTAATCTATTACTGCATAGAAAATTACCTTAAAATGTAGAACCTTGAGATAGCAGACATCTGTTGTCTCATCTAATTTCCATGAGTAATGAATTCAGGAATGGGTTAGCTGTGTATGGCTCCGGCTTAGAAAGGTAAGCAAGGACATAGTCAGTACTATAGGCATTTAAAGGCTAATCTTAAAATGTCATATTTGCTTTCAAGTGAACAGTTCTCTCACATGACCATTGAGAGGAGGCCATACTACTCCTTATAAAACGGTTTGACTGTCCTATTAAGAAAGCTGAATTTCCCCAAAGCAAGAGAGAACATGTGGAAAACGCTATCCTTTATGACCTAAGCCGTTGTTACTTCCAACAGACTATTGGTGACAGAAATAATATTGTTCTGTCCAGTGTGGGAAGAAACTGACCAAAATTATAAATACCAAAAGACTTGAATTTGGGGGAGCTTCTTAGAAGCAATAGTCTGCCTTTTGATCTCCAGTGATCTATGTATCTCCCCAAAGTAAACTTCCTCATTTTTTTCCCACAGTAGACATCTCTTCCCATGACACCATCACTCCAGATTCATGTCATCTAAACTAACTGTAGATGTGAATAAGTCTCCCAGGTTTAATGTTTTAAATTAAGCTTCTCAAGTGTAACTCCTGTTCAACTTAACACCAGTGTTGCCCAGCACCCCCACCCAGATACAATGGTGGGATAGGCTAGATAGAGCTGGAACAGACAAGCTGTTCCAAAGCAAGAGAGGAATCTGAATGGCTATTGGTCCAGTAGGATCCTTAAGCCCAGTTGCATACATGTTGGAATTTCCTTGGTTAGGGCTTGCAGGCCTATTTCTGTGTGGGAAGGACTTTCTACAGTTCTTGAGTTCACCTGTTGGATTCTTAATCCCTTTTTCATTTAAAGCAATTCATGTTTGAGAGGCTGGAGAGATGACTCACTGGTTAAGAGCACTGGCTGCTCTTCCAGAGGTCCTTAGTTCAATTCCCAGCAACCACATGGTGACTTACAACCATGGTGTACATGCAGATACAGCACTCATACATAAAATAAGAGGGAAGAAAAGGAAGGATACAGAGGTCATGAGGGAGCAGAAAGGTTGAGACAGGTGTAAATTAGAAGAAATGATATGTGATAGGTAGGGTTTTAGTTGGGAGGGTGGTAGGGGAGGAAGGGAGGAAGAAGGGAACTGGGATTGTTATGTAATTCAATCTTGTTTGTAATCCAAATAAAAAAAAGTAAAAAAAAATTGTTAGGAATGATACATTTAAAAAAAGTAATACATGTTTGAAACTGTATAGTATTGTCGCTTTGATTTTGAACAATAGACTCTAGGAGGTCCAAATTCCACTTTAAGTTTTCCTTTCTCCAGCTTTGCTTATACTACTTTTAAAAGTAAGTCTCCTATAAATATAATTCAGTTTATTCTGTTTCACAAAGTTCATACCTACAAATCTTTTCAAAACCAGCCATCTCTACTGAGGCTGTCCCTCTGCTGAAACTTTGAGGCTCACACCCTAGGGCATCTTTGAAGCCCTGTTTTTGTCTAAATTATTCCCTGAATCCCTGCTATGGGCAGTTTTGAGTTCTAAATAAAGGACTGTACAGCATACTGCCACCCCATCAGTGAAATTTGCAACATCCTAGAGTTTGTCTTTATCTGGAAGCCATTTCTTTATTTTAGCATTGTTTCTACCTTTAGCTGGAGATTTTCAAACTAGATACGTCTTTTTTTTTTTTTTTTAAGAGTTCTTCTTTCAGATTAGCTCTTTCCTTTCACATTTGCAAAGATGTCAGGCAGTACCTTCAACATTATACTGGGAAATGACTTTGGCTACGATAGCCAATTGATTAGGCACACTTCCTATTTTCCACAACACTTTAGGTGACAGTGTCACTAAACTTCTGTCTCTATATAACAAACACCACTTCTAGTTTCCAATGACATTTTTCTTTAAGCTCTCCCCTGTAGCTATCTCAAAGACCATTTGGATCTGACTTGTAGTTTCTTCGAGGTTTCAGTTTTTCACTAATATTTACCTCATTGTCCTGCTAGCTTCTTCTTTGTGCCCATGTCCAAAACCCTTCCAATTTTAGAGTTTTATTATGGAAGAGAATCACTGAGATAAAATCGGCACTCATGGTTACTTCAAAACTTTGAGTCATCTTCAGGCTGCTCAGCACACTTGGCACTGGCATTGTCTTCTCACTGTGGTTAACAACAGCTGTAAGGCATCTATCTCTAGATGCTCAGGAGGCAG